CCCAAAAAAAGACCCAAGGAATCCTTGCAAGAACTTGCAAGCAAGCCGCGTGCACGGGAACCTTCACCACGTGGTTGATTTGTTCAGGTGGCGGGGCCGGCATCGTGACCTTCACTGGCACAGTGACGTGATGGATGTGGGTAATGGTCTTGTAGTGGTTCCTTGGCGCAGAACACTTCGCGCAAGGAGCCGTGCAAGCCTCGCAACAAATCACACGTCAAAGCATGGTCCGCCCAAAGCTGGTGAGCTCTCCGCACAGCAGCCGAGGGTCTTGTACTGGACCTTGGCTGGGACACGCATGGGGGGTCTGTGCACGCGTTAGTGCGTCTCACAAGTCAGGCCCATCTCACTTTCAAGGTACCTTCGTCGTGCAGGACTCCTTGAACTTGTAGCAGCAGTAACGCTGGTGCTCGTGAGACCACTGCGTCTTCCAGCTACCATAACCTGCCGGGCAGTCAGGCAAGCTGCCGAGGTACATGCCACAGCAGGCTGGAAGCCTTCGGTGCAGTCGTAAGGATGGTGCTTCACGTACACCTTCTGCCTCAGCCGCAGCCCCGGGTCCAAAGAAAGAGACAATGAAGACACTCCGTTGGAAAAAGGCCACGCTAGTCTGAGCCAAGAGGCGTGATGACCTTCGGGGGTGGACCAGGAATCGGCACCGGCACCACATGTGCGACGTGCTCGGTCCTGACAGAGTTCGGCAGATCGCTGTGACGTGCTTGGACGTGCTTGGCAAAGCTTTTGGAGCCCCCCTTCCCCGGCGGTCTTGACGTTGGTGTAGTACCTCGTCTGCAGCATGTGCAAGAAATTTCAAGATTTCCGTTTAAAAGAGACCCAACCACAATGTTGACAAGTTTGACCCAGGTGCTTGTCATGGATAATCATCGGTGCCTTCGTCGTGGGTGTCGCGCAGAAAGAGGGGTAGCCCTGCGCGCAGCAGGTCTCCCTCTGGAGAGGGGTGACCTCAGCTGGAGTAATTCTCAAATTCTGGGGCAGCCTCGCAACGTCGTCATGGGCCGAGCAGCCACCGTGCCCTGCATGGTCATCGACTGCGTGCAGATGTCCTTCAAACGACTCGGGACAGAACCGCACCAACAAGTCCAGCCAGCCGCACGAGGGTCGGGCCGTAGCTGACGCGATCTCATCGGCCCCGGGGGTGAAGAAGACATTGGGCCTCGGTGCTGGGTGCAATGTTGCACCCTCTTCAATGTTGGGGCCGCCCCCACCCTCCCCACTAACAATAGGGCCCTCAGAAAAATCGAAATTAAGGACCTTCAATAGATTCCCTCAAAACCTCCCGCAATGCTGAGGGGTCTGAGAATTGAAAGAGAAAGGAATGGTCTGGGCTCCAAAACTTACAGGGACCCAGGGCTGCCAGATTAAAGAGGACCTCAAAACAATGGGCATTCAAGAGGATCCAAAGGCCTGCTGGACTACCCCCTTTGCCCACATGATTGTGGCTGAAATTCTAAGGTTGTGAAGAAGGGTTTTAAATAAACTGGTGGGCTGCAGTCTGAGGATTTGGTATCTGGAATCTGGATTCTGGATCTCTCACGGCTGAGTTGGAAAAGGATTTGAAAAGACATGCCTTTGAGAATTAAAGAGGCATGGAAACCTTCCTATGTTTTTAGGGCCCCAAAATCAAAACACATTATAGGGGGCCTTACAGTCATTAACTCTGATCCTCAATAAGCAGGCCCCAAAACACATGATAGGGGGCCTCTACACTAAAGCGGGTGCAACATTATGGCTCAGTGGCGCTGACGGGGTGGACCTGAAACAGGCCTGGCGCTGGCCTGGCTCGGGCCCAGGCATGAACAAGTATATCAAAAGCCCGAGGATCACGAAGAGCAGGAAGCAAAGGAAGGCTGCGCACACTGCTCGAAACCTGATCCGAAGACCGCATGAGGGCTGTGGGCATTGTCACAGCCGCACACATGGGGCGAGCTCACGCAGCTGCGGTATGCTGAGGTGCTGACCGCACACCTGGGCACAAGCCACACGCCGCAGGATTCGCACCCTTGACATCCCTTCTCTGCCAGGGCACCAGAACTCACAGTGACCTTCTCCTTCGCAAAGTCGCCACGACTGGCAGGCGCAGCATAGGGCTTTCAGGACTCAGACGCTCCCTAAACCTGCCGAGGTGGCCCATGTCCCACAAACTCCATGCTGGCTGCCTGCGTGTAGGTACCCTGACCTGCAAAGCAGACGACTGCAGCGACTCTTGTATGCTGTGCCAAGGTGCCCCCACAGCCCTCGCCTGAACCCACATAAGCCTCAGATGGCCAATCTCAGGCATGCAGCAGGCTCGAAAGCAAGAAAGAAGGCGGACTCGGAATTGTCCTCCGACAGGAAGCCCAGCGCTCTTCCGTCTTGATGGCTCCAGGGTCGGGCTCGAAGCCTGAAAATGACGCAAGGGCACAGGACTCTTGCTTGACGCACGACAGGATCCAACCGACCAAAGACTTGATTTGGCAATTCTGTTATGGCTTCAGGGGGAGCGAGGGTTTGATGGCGTGGGTCACGTGAATGAGCTTAGCAAGACCCTGTAACGGCACATGTACATCAACCGCAGCCAAGAAATTGCAAAAGGTGAGACTCCCTCACCTGCAATGATAAGAACTGTATTATGACTTCAATTAGTTGCTTACTTCACGTGCCAGCATGCAGTGTTGTTGCTGCAGTGTTTCAAGTTGGGGACGGAATTGAGTGCCAAGCACATGAAGTTTCACGGGTACTTCTCCGTACAACTCAGTAATATCCGGTACTGCATGCTAAAGTGGGCTTGAATTTACCATCGTACTGCCTACCCGTGAGCGTCCCCGTGACGTACTACCTACCCGTGAGCGTCCCCGTGACCATGCAAAACCATTTGTAACTAATGACTGCCTTGGCCACCACCCATGAACTCGAAACCTGAAAACCGAAAGACAAAACCAAAACTGTGACTCCTAAACTTTTCAGACCGCTGGTTTAGGGTTTAGGGCACACCCTAAAAGCTCTGAAACTCAAACAATGAGTTCTTCAACCCTACACCCTGAGATCAAAAACCCAACAGGGGCAGATGCATAGGCGCCCGCAGATTTAACAGGCAACCATGCCCTACAACCTGGTACTCACTAGTCACTAGGAATTCAGGGAATCCCTTAACCCTAAACCCAGCAAAATCTAAGCCCTACAAAACCCAGCATATCCCTAAACCCTAAACCCTAAACCTACTTATCCACAATTCCTTAGTAAGCACCAGGTATCTATGGCTTTCCGGCCAGGCTGCAAAGTGCCCCGCAACCAGCACCTTTAATAGGATTTGTAGGGCTGGGTTTAGGGTTTAGGGTTTAGGGGTTTAGGGTTTAGGGCACTTTCGGAAATGCAAGAGTTTAGGTTGGAAGGATTAGGCAACTGTGGCGTTTGGGGTTGTAGAGTGCTAGGGTTTAGGGATTGATGATTGAAGACTTCAAGAATTTTGGGGCTTTGGGGTTTTGCGGTTCTAGGCTAGGGTCTAGTGGGGCATACGTAGGGTTTAAGGCTGATGGAACTACTTCTAGTGGTAAAAGAGGTTTTGTAGGGCATTGCAGGCCCGTTGCCTAACTCGAACTATGAACAGCGCGGACCAATGGGCTTTAACCTTGCAGGTACAAGTCCGCATTCAAACCCTGATTGTTTCTGGTGATCCTAGGACTTCGGCAAAAAAATATGAAGGACCCGCATATTGGGAAATGCCACCGTAATCACTACATCTCCATAGAGCTTGGCACTGAAGGGGGGGAATGAGCTACAAGGACTTAACTGGGGATTACATAGGGGCTACTATAATGGGTTTAGGGTTTAGAAGGAATGCAAGAGAAAATGGAAACTATACTATGTTGGGTTATATAGGGACTACTATCGGGATCCATTCCCTCATTCCCAACGAAGCACCAGGGGTTCATTCCAGGCTCTCGTGCTTTCAAAAGTTTTCAGTTGCTGTCATGTCCCACGGCTTGGCCATCTGCGTCTTAGGGGTATAATATTATATAGGGATAATGGAAAAGACTGAAAAGAAAATGGAAGCTACCATAAAGGCTTTACCTGAACCCCAAAAGTATGTAGAACAATTGCTTTTTGGGCTGTTTTTGGTTTCGGACCATTATTTAACCTACGTTTGGGGATTAGGTAGCACACGGGCTTAGGTAGCGCTAGGTGCTTGCAGGACACCGCAGCCATCATCCACAGCGACAGCACCTCGCCAAGGGTGCTCGGAGGTATAGTACCCCAAAAATGGAGAATCAAATGGAAAAAGAAAAGGTATTGACAGAGTTATAGTTATATAGGGACTGTATATGGCTATGGATCAAAAAATGTTTGTCGTCTCTGCTCCTCTTCATGCTGCTAACAAATATGAAATATCTCATTTTTGAGAAGACATGCAAGAGCTCTTCTGAGTTTTCAGAATCTAAGAGCTCCTCTTAATTTTGACAAAACATGTGAAACATATCAGCCCTTCGTAAATTTAATGCTAAGTATAGGGCTCATCTTGTTCTGCATTAGAAAGCATACGAGTTTCCACTAATTTTACAAGAATTCCGAATCGAATTCGTAATGCCTACTAGAGTTTCTACTACTGCAAGTGTTTTCATTCTCCAGAAATATGAAAACTCATTTCATGTTTAGTAAGAGATAAGTGAGTTCCGATTCTTTCAATTTTATACAATTCCCAACAGATTCAATCTAAACTTAAGAGCTCCCTTTTCATTTGATTTGAAAAGATTTCAGCTCACCTCAATGTTAGTATGCATTGAAATCCTGCTTTTAATTCTGTTGAAAAAATGGAGTTCTTCTCTTACTCGATGTTTAAAAGCATTCAAAGAGCTCCTCGTAGTTTTTTAATATGAAATAATGACATTTTTGTTACAACGAGAAGACATGTGAGGGTTCCTCTTAATTTTTTCTCAGACGTATGAGGGCTGCTCTTGACTTCGAAGAATTGTCAATCGAAAGCTAGGATCTTGGAAATACGATGGTATGAAGGCCAGTGGCCGAATAGACCCTAAGGGTCTCGGCCACATATATATATATATGTATACGTATATACATATGTATTATATGTCAGATGCGAGTGAAGAAGCACGCGAGAACATAAGATTTCGAGGCATAACGTGGAGCATGATAGGTGCAATTGCCTCGTCAAATAACTCCACTTGTGTCAGACGCAAAATGCAGAACCGGGACTGCGGTATCTGGCCTCCTGCGCCTCCTCCGCCAGCAATAGCTCCTCCGCCTTGTGCCCTCAGCTTTGCAAGCTTGAGCTCATGCAGTGTCACTGTGCCGAAATCCATCGAAGCACTTAGCTACAGCTCGCGTGCATGCCAGGCGCTTAGGCATGATGCAGAGATCGCTGAAGCTGGGGTACTTTGGCCTACCAGATCCTTGAGCAAGGCTCTATGGCAGACAGAGGCGTTCACTGCAAGTTTTGGCACGTCAGAATCCTTGCTCAAATCTTGGTTGGACAAGAACAACTGACAAGCTCGGAGAGCAGGGGAACTCAGCAAGCTTCGACAGATCGCACTTGGCCATTTTGAGCTGGGCCTTATCGGTCTCTTCGAGATCAGATGAAGACTCAACTACTGTGGCTAGATGCTGCAATGCATCGGAACTCAGTCCCAAGGGCCCAGGTGCACGAAATTTTCAGGGAACAGGCAATCTTCATCTCATTTGAAAAGCGCGCAGCTTTCAAGTATTATATTTGCATAGTCAAGCCACATGTTTGTGTTGCACCCAGGTCTGTCGATAAGGTCAGCGATGGATGCCAGCAGCTAGTTCCATGAATAGTTGATGCAAGGTGGGGGCTTTGTCAAGGCTGGATCCATGCTGGCTTGCAGCCGTGCTACAGTACAGGCTCTGGAGAAGTGTTGCTGAAAACTAAGATTTCGACCAGACAGAAGGCAGCTGAAGCATGACAGCAGCTCAGTCACTGTCACTCTCAGTCAGTGCTCGGCACGTTGGCCAGACCTGGGGATATATAGGGATAATGGGAAAGTAAATGGAAACTACTATAGTACATTGGGGTAATATGGGATAATGGAAAAGAAAATGGAAGCTACTAAATAGGGTTTAGGGTTTAGAGGATAGTCTAGGTGGACCCCCCACCCGGTAATAGTGACTATAATGGATAATAAGGTTCATATTCGGGTCCTCTTAGTTTCCTATTATGCCACCATTACAGGGTGGGGGTCGTCCAACGGATAGGTCAGGGTTAGGTGTGAGGTTTAAGGTGTATAGGGCGTAAGGTTTACAGTCCCCCTTCAGAAGATGGAATATGGAATTGCCCAAATCATTGTAAACACCCCAATATGCCCCATATTCTTTGTACGTAAGGGGGACTATAGGGATTAAGGTTAAGGTGTGAGGTCAGGGTTCTAGGGGGTACCGTTTGGGGCTGCAGCAGTAAGGCTAGGAGCACTGAGGAGAGGAGGATGACAAGAAAACTAAAGCATGGTTGCATTTATAGAATAGATATACACACATATGTACATGTGGTTTTCCCAAAATTAGGAATACCTTTTTGGGTGGTCTGCATGATAAGGATTATAGTCTTTTGGGGTCTATATTGGGATTCTCCTACTTTGGGAAACTACCACATATCCACATGAATGTATAGATGCAAAGATGCATGGACGAATTGTAGCGTCACGTAGCAGAATACACTACTGCATAGTGCAGTATGCCTGAGAACAGTATAGCAAAATGCAATGTGATCATCTAGGTCTAGTACAGTACAGTATGATGCAGCAAATAGTTGAAAAAGGTACAATATAATGTAGTAGAATACATCAGTGCCTGAGTGAAATAAAGGAGAAGTATAGTAGGTGTAGAGTAAGTATAGTATGGTGTATAATATACTATAGTGAGTGTAGATGAGTGTAGTATAGTACATATATAGCTTCGTGTAGCAGACTAAAATTGTATAGCATCACAAGACATAGTCTTACCTAGTCAGTTATAGATGCGAATCCTAGTGTATTTGGACCTCAAGCCTAAACCTTAACCCCTACCTTACACATGCAGAAGCAAGCACCGTTATGTAAGGGCCAGGCCACTGGGCTCCACACTGAAGTTCGAACCTCGGTTGCGGAAGACGGCGTGCCAATAAAAGGGATGTGTGCCGATTGGAGGTTCGGGTGTACAGCTG